GGGGAGGAAGGGGGGGGGCACTTCGCCCACGCCTGGCTAAACGACCTATTTTGTTTCTGGCCCAGTGTGAACGGAACTCTCCACCTCCTCATGCACAACACCGAGGGAGTGAGGGAGGGAAGGAGAGAGAGAGAGAGGGAGGTCGGAGGGAGGGAGGGAGAGTGCACTTCGCCACGTCGCGACGACTCACCTATTTCCTTTTTGGGCCGCGTGTGGATGGAACTCTTCACATCGTCAGAACACTGCAGACACCCAAAGGCAGAGCGTGAGGCAGGCTGCACTTCCGCGCACCCGTTTGCACGCAGCTCGACTCTGCTCCGCCTGCCTATTGCTTTCCGGCCAGCGCCGACCAGCGCGAAAAATTCCGACGGCGCTGCCCCGAGAAACGAATGCGCGTCCTAAAGCCAATGTGCCTACACGTAGCTCAGTTTTCTAACGCAGTTTTTTCCTTATCTCCTTTTACGAAAGAGAAAATTTGTTGAAATACCCCTAACAGTTGGGGTATTTCGTCCGACAGTTCGGGTATTTCGTCGGACGGTTGGGTTATTTCGCCGGATGCGGATCTCTGCCGCCTCTCCGCCGCTGTCCTGCATCATTGCCAACCTGCAAAGACCGAGGAGGAGGAGGAGGAGGATGAGAAGGGGGACAAAAAGGAGAACGAACCTCCAATCGCAAAGCATCACCCGTCATAGAAGACAAAGCGGACATCTTTTTCGTCCTTTCCCCTCTTTGGCTCCATTTTGTGGAGGTGCTTGTTCAGCAAGTCATGGTTGAAAAAACTTGGCATGTCTTGCATTTCGTTCTCCTCGTCGCTTCCTGTCCCTCGCTTTGCCTCCCTCCACTACTCTCTGGGAGAACTACAAATTTGTATTAATGAGCTCTCTGTTTTTAATTTTATTTCTAACATGTTAGTTGCGTTCATGACAAACTCATGTTTCCTTGCAGTGTTGTGTTGAGCACCATGACCAGCCGTAGTGGTATTTTCTCCGACGATGAGAAAATACAAACAAATTGACTGACCGTGGCGCCACATATGTGTGGCTTGGAACGTGTATGATGACGAAAAAAACGTATTCCTTATAGATTGTGAACAAATTGCAAATGTCGCCCTATCATAAGCAAACTTTTCCAAACTAAACAAAAATAGGTAACAACCGTAAAATACACTTCAGCCTCATAACACTGAAAGCATATTTAGCGACGTAGTGTATGGGTTGTCATGTTTGCTATACACAACTCCACAACAAAAGGCATGACTATGCCATATCCCGAGTTGGTAATACCCTTGAGAAAAGGGGTTCACTTCACTCATACCAACTTCAATCATAGCAGACTATTGGTCCCAAACCCTGACTATAATGGATGTAAGTTTAAGAAACTAGTATGTAACTGCTATAAAACCCACTCTATACACTATGCAACCTATGTGTGTGTGTGTGTGTGTGTGTGTGTGTGATTTTCCTCTGTGTGTTACTATGTTGCGTGTGTGTGCAATTTTCAGGTTAGTGCCAACCTTCGAAGGTGGTATGTGGTGCAACAAAAATTATATGTGGCAACTTTAATGGAATGTGTGATATCATGTTCGTTGTACACAACTAAAAAAAAGAAGTATGAATGCGTGAGACAGTTTTTTCATACTTTCAGTGACTTGTCAAAAGGTTGAACACTGACAGTTGGCCCCAAATGCGTTTAACTGATGGTTAAGGACTCATTACATTGTGTTAATTCAAAACACAGTATTTGGTACAACAGAGACTATCTATGCCGATTCTAACAGAATGTGTGTTGAAATGTTTACTATACAAAACTCCATAAAAAATAACCGTGAGCATGCTACACTCTTTCATTGGACTTTCAACAACTCATCAAGAGGTTGAAAACTGACAATCTTCCCAAAAGGTATTCGACTGATGGTTAAGGATCGAATGACATGATTGGTATGAGTTTGAGTTACACAGTCGTGCTTTCTATGTAGAGTTTCGTGTCTTGAATACAACAAGATGCATACACCTATAACATTTGTTCATTATAACTTTATTGTCGGGTAGCCTTGTTATCTTCAGATTTCGAGGGCCCCGCAATGAAGGGCAACTGCAGAGAGTAACCAAAGTAAAGTATTTCGTTGCCAAAAGTATGTTGCATTACCCAAATGCCCATTATCGTAGTCAACCTTTTTTACTGACGCAAGTATAAGTCCAAACGGCGTTGTGAGAAGCTCATTATCTTAGCCAAAAACCTATTGTCACAGTCAAATATTTTGCGACTACCATCAACGACATGATGCTACTAGGAATGTATTGTTGTAACCTCAAATAGGTTGTTGGAAGTGCCATTCTACCGATGTCGAACCCAGAAAGAAGCAATAGGTTGATGTGGATAACTACTGCCAGTATGAAACTGCAGTGACCTTGCCCAACTAACATCAATCGCGTGCTAAACCACAACAACCTGTAATGAAACAGCAGTTCAGTCATCAAAGATAGTAAAAGATCCAAGGGGCACAACAAGTGCACAAGAACTACATGTCTAATGAGTGCATCACCGTTGTTTAGACAGAGTTAACAACCACTCCTTTAAACGTTGGCGATAAGACTTCCATAGATACTCACTGTTGCAAATATATGCTTTTGAAAACTGAATTCGGTCGAGCCTAAAAACCAAAGAATAGCAACAACCTCCAAAGAAAGCCAACAATAGTAAACGGCAAGCGGCAGCTAACCCTGGGTGATGTCGTTCATCATCGCTGCAGAGTTGAAATTCTTCAGTCGCGAGCCCTGTCTTCTCACTTCTCCTTTCTACGCCTCCTCTTACCATCTCCCTTTCACCTTTCTACACCTCCTCTTACCATCTCCCTTTCACCTTTCTCACTTTTGTGGCGTTTCCCTCTTAACCCCCCTACCTTGTGTTCAACTTCGCCAGAAACCACAAAGTTGAAAACATGTTCGCATTGCACACCTTCTACCTTTCAACTTAATGCACATAATCATTCCTCCTGTCTTGATTCAAGATCGATACGGTGACGTGCAGTTAGGCCACCATGCAGAGCAATACGATGGCAACGACGTCAAGTTGGGTGCAGTAGCGAGTGGAGTTGGCATTGTATTTATCTGGATTCAAATGAAAGATTGACTCTCGTTTTACCCATTTGGGAAGTAGTGGAGTGAAGCAAAATTCACACACGTCCTATTCGCTGTGATCCCGCTGTTGGTAGCAATGCTCTTCATCGTGCGCATGAACAATGAAGACGACCACTTAGAACAAGTGGACGACGAAGGTGACCACCAGGATCATGTGATGATAAACAACAGAAAAAAAAATGGTGTTATTAAAAACAACTTGAAGTTAATTACATACCTTTGTTTATAACAACAAATTATTAACCTAGGTGCATAGGTTATCTGGGCAGATAATCTGGTTGGATTATCTGCCCGGATGATCGGAGGGAAGGATCATTCGAAAATCCGGATGACTAAAAAAAAAAAAAAAAAAAAAAAAAAAAAAAAAAAAAAAAAAAAAAAAAAAAAAAAAAAAAAAAAAAAAAAGTGATATTGCGTATGCAAAATACAACAGCACAACGTCCCTATTTCGTGAAAAGCTTGATAGGGTATTGAAGGGTTCAAAGGGGTAAGATAGGGAATAAATGGGTTCAAAGATGGGATGCTTAATTCATTCTATAATTTTTTATCTCAATATTATTTTCTTCTTCTGTTTTATTTTTTATCTTCATATATGTTAAGATATCAAAGATGCCCTCAAGCTAAAAGTTGTTAGTATCATTCATATGAACAACATACTTTGTTTCCAGATTTTTTTGAATTTGTTTTTTCGTTTTTTTTTTTTTTTTGCGCGCAGGGCCGAATTTTTCATATCCGGAATTAATCCGGATTGAAATTATGGATAAAATTGATATGCCGGAAATCCGGATTTGCTACATAGTTATTAAAAGTTTATAAACTATTTGAGAGAGGGGTTCATGAATATATACAGGAAGCCAATCAATCTGGTTTGGTCAAGCATTAATCATGTTTTTTGTGTTGGTATGGTTGTTTTAAACTTTATACAAACAGTTGAACAATAGTTGGTATTGTGTTGAAAGTTTCGTTAATGAGTTGGAAATCTGTTGATAAACAGTTAGTATCTTGTTGAAATTATGTTGGAATAATATGGTTGTTCATTGTGTTAAAAATTTAACATATTTAGGATGATAAAACTTTCAGAATTACATTCTTGCATTGTTATCATAAAGTCTTTCAAGTTACATGTCTAGGATGTGTTGTTGATGTTGACGTCATGAAAATCAACTTTACACTTTATGAATGTAATAGATTTACAAGTTTTTTTTTTTTTTTTCCCTCCCTCTCTCTCAATAGAAAGTCGTAACAAAATTTGTTTCTCAGAGCATAAAATAATGCATATTCTTTATATTACCCACCAAAATCATACACATTCCTATTCAACTACACCTTCTTATTTAAGTGCAGTTGAATAAGTTTACCCTCAAATCGATATGTGTTGGTCTCGTAGCATTATTGTCCAACTGCATAGTTGACAGTCCTACAGGAAAGACGAATAATATTTATTTAAGTGAGTGAGAACTCACATTTTAAAATAAGATAACTGATTTTTTTTTTTCTTCGTTCATACGAAAAATTGACGGACGTCCCGGTAACACATTATTTTTCAAATTGTGAAGTGTGAATAACTCTTTCGTTCCAAGCGATACTTTTAATGGCCGCTTGGTGTCTACATTTATGTGTCGTAACGGATATGTTGAGCCATAAAGCAATATGCATCTACCGGCCCCATACACAAACATTGTTAGACACGTAATAGAAGATTGAAGATGATTATGAAATAAAAGCGAAATATCATTAATGAGAAGTGCTTAATGCTTAGAATGTTCTACGATGTGTAAAATGTGCAGTAGCTTAGTGGCAAGAACAATTGTTGCAAATGCGCATTGTGGTATGAGGTTGCGGGTTCCAATCCGCAGCCTTCCTCATAGACACTACCAAGGCGTTAAAATGACGCACGACTGGACACCCCCCCCTTGGGATGACGCATGTTAGCTATTACAGACACTGCTTGCGCACCACCCAAGGGTTATTCATGGTGTTGTATGTTGGTCCTGGGTTTCACATGGGTTGCTTGGGGGTGTTGGTCTTGGGTGTTTTGTTGATCTCCCCAGTGTGGCATATCACACGTTCGTACCATTTCCGCAGGTCGTTCACATGGTAGAGTCATTTGATTACATGTTACAAGGTTACGGGTTCGAGCTTGGTTCG